ATCATCTGTATGAGGTATGACTTCGTTATTTGTTATGTGTTATCTACCAAAACAAATTACATTACCACTACACCCATCTTAACACCTTCACACCTACACCTACACGGCCACAGCCACATATATAACATCACCACATACACACATATACACATTTATAACAATTTTTAAATCCTTTAAAAAAAATTCTTATTTCAAGTTAAAACTCTCTTGAAACTTAAAGCTCTAGCTACAGCATTATGGACCACCATGAAAAGTACTGTCATAAAAGAGATTTGACATCAATGTAAGAAGCTGTAACAGGAATTTCTTTGTCTGAGAGGGTAATGGTAATTTAAACTTTCAGAATCACATTTCAACCAATACGAGAATAAGGAATAAAACAAGCATGATAATGTTACACTTCAAAACTTATACATACCGTGGAAGTACTAGGATCAAGTCTATTACTGTGAGACACAATTAATAACTCACAATGACGCATCATACTGCTTTTGATTAGGCGTCTGCAACTAGGTCAAAATTCAAATCTCTAACACTAAGCATTTTCTGCAGCGACTGAGCGTGAAATGGGCCTAATTCATGCTGACTTGAGAGGCCATATTACTCATGCCTCTGAAATGTCATAAAAAAAAACAATCCAGCTCATTGCATCTAATTGAATCACATTGACCCTACAGAACACATTAGCAATCCACAACAAAAGCAACAACATGCACACAATAATAAAAAAAATAATAACAGATACAAAATCTGTAGGATACCCACCCTATGGATGCCTCACTGTCAGGGGAACACATTAATTTGTTTTCGAAAGGGGGAAAAACAAGTAGGGGGTGTCTATTTGGCATACAAATAAGTCAGTATCTTCACTTGTCAAGGAAAATCTGAAGACTATAAAAATATAATAATATAATAAAAATATAGGAAGATAAAAAAAAAATATAATAAATCTGTAACGACGACATGAATCCAATCTTCACAAACCACCGACCTTAAACAGAAATTAACAAAAAAAAAGATACAAACATCTTCACTAAATCAGAAATAACTTACACAATGTTCAGCGCCGAAGATAAGCGAGAATCAGATTAAAAACACCAAATCCGAAGAAAAATGATGGAAAAGTTGGCGACGACCTCCTTCTCCTTCCACGTTTGTTAACCTTACACACGTGATTGGCTTTAGGAATAGGTCATGAATACAAAAATACCACTACAACGAAGATAATTACTATGAATCGATATGTAATTGTCTAAATTAGTATGAGAAGAAAAATGTTCTGAGTCGTGGTATGAGGATTTTATATAATTACGAAACAAGCAGAAAAAACATATGTAATCATCAGAATACAGAATACATTTCAAACACTTTTACCAAAATAACTCCAATAAATTAACATAATCTAAATAAAATAATAATCAGTTCCAATTAAAACATAAATCACAAATTACATCAGAATTTCAGATTACTTACGGACCCCGAGGCAGCGTTGTGTCTGCAGGAACGACAACTCGCCGGGGAAGAGAAAAAACGGACTTATTTTCCCTATTTTTGACTGAAAAGGGCGCATTTTTTTAGATTAGATATTCAGAATGATCATCACGAGGGCGAGTGTGACGATAAATAAGCTTGCATGCAGTCAACATGGAAACTCCTAAGAGAGGAGTTTGATAATTACTGTCTTTTTTGATGCGGTAATGCGGTTATATGTACGTCTTTCGTAATAGGGAAAAGCAATATAATTTATTTTCTAAAGGTATTAGAGAGTTTTTTGTCTAATGTTAGAGGATATTGATGATTTATACGCTTTGTTGGTCTATTGGAAGTTAGAATAAACGAAACATGGATTTCAACTTGACATGTATGACCGATTATGCAACTCCATAAATATTATTTAATTCACTCTTTTCTGTTATTTTTTCAAGTTTCTTCTTTCTGTAATGGCAAGTTTGACTTAAATTTACGTGCACTGAAATTTAAAGTTTAAAACTGGACCCAAAATTCTCACTAATAAGTAAAATGTAGTTCAGTTTTCCACTTTTAGAAAATTTAGTTTAAAGAAAAATTATGGGTCTTTCATAGAAGGTTAGATTATTGTAGAAACTTTTACAGTATTTAATGTTTATTTTATTGTCCACATACTGATTTTTATGCTTTCCTTATTGGCTGTGCAATGTACTTTAAGCATATTTACCTCCATATTAAATAACAACTAACGTGCACTAACTAGCAAAAATAGCAAAATTGAACTTAACTAGCAAAACCTACTTGCACATGCAGAAAGGTATAATTGCTGGTGTTTTGTAAAAATCTGTTACTGGACTGGTATTCTTATTTCCTACCACATTAGATGCGACATGTAGTAAGGCACACCCCCATTAAAAGAATTATCAGGAAATTAATTTATACAAAATTTAGTTTTAAAAACTCTTGTCCCAAAACTCAGTCTATCACATTATATTTATTCAGCCAAATTTCAGGGGAAAAAACTATTGGCTTTGGGCAAAATTTAATGTTAATTACATAACTTGAATTGTATAGTTATTTATTAATTATGGATATCAACTTCACATGAAAATCTCAATAGGTAATGTTATAGTGTTACATCATTCAGTTACTCAGGCATTTGAACAACTTTAATACTTGTTTCTGTAAAATATTTGCCGATAGATGTAATGTAATGTAATAGTTATCATCATAAAGAAATTTGTGTAATATCTAAAAACTCTCAACTTCATATAATACTTAATGCAGAAGCTCTAAGATGCAACAGAAGCTTAAATAATATGATATATAATCATAATACCATCTTTGATTTCATTCCTTTTACTTTTGATAAAGATATAAAAGATATTAAATAATTTTTCTCTCTTCTTCCAGATACCTGCATATTACTCAACATCTGCAGACAGTGTGCCCTTGGAAAGAATCAGAAACATTGGAATATCTGCGCACATTGACTCTGGAAAGACGACGCTGACAGAACGCATTTTATATTATACCGGTCGGATCGATGAGATGCACGAGGTATGTTTTTTTTTTTTTTTTCCACTATTCAGATTAATGCATGAGGAAGACTGTAGTTTATATATTGCTATAATTGCTAATATTTTCAGACAGCCAATATCAGAAGACATTTTATCAGTAGAAAAACATTTTAGCTATATTGTAAATGTGGCAGTTTATAACCTTAATACTATTAAGTATGTAATCAGTGATATTTATTCCAGTCTAAAAAGCTACAAACTTTTCTTGTCCCCCTTCCCCATTCCCAACAAAAAAAGGACAAGAAACCTCTTGGAAAAGTTAGTAAAGCTTTTTTTTTTTTTCTCTCTCGATTTAATCTTCCAGGTTCGGGGTAAGGATGGGGTTGGGGCGGTGATGGACAGCATGGAGCTTGAACGACAGCGCGGCATAACTATCCAGAGTGCTGCAACCTTCACCATGTGGAAGAACCATAACATCAACATCATTGACACACCTGGTATGATGCCGTTTCCTATGTTTCTTGGGTATTGCTAATACACCTGGCATGGTACTGCTTTTTATTTCATTGGGCTTGAAGGGGATTTATAAGAAGATTGAAAAAGGAGACATCATTATTTCAAATCTTTGTTTGATGTATGTAATGTATTAGAATATTGTCTGATTTGTAGATGAACATCTAGTCTTGTTATGTATTGAAACAGTGTCTCCTCAACAGTCACTTCACAAAAATCACTAATCAGATATTGGTATTTAATGTTCTTTCAAACCAAATGAAAAGCAAAGAATTATATCACACTGGGCAAATATATTGTAGGTCATACAAGCTTTAAAAGGATCAAGATATCAAAATCTAGTCTAATTTTTAGATGATTTTAGACAAACAAAGATTTTATCACACGTTACAAACACGTTCCAGGCCACGTCGACTTCACTGTAGAGGTTGAACGTGCATTACGCGTCCTGGATGGTGCAGTCCTGGTCCTGTGTTCTGTGGGAGGTGTGCAATCTCAGACCTTAACTGTTAATCGTCAGATGAAGAGGTATTCGGTGCCCTGCTTGGCCTTCATTAACAAGCTGGATCGAATGGGGGCAAATCCATACAGAGTTTTGAATCAGATGAGGTGAGACAATTTCATAATGGTTTGTAAGATTTGTCTTTATAAGTAATGTGCATATTGAACAAAGGAGTATTTCATAAGAATTGAGGTTTTATTATAAAAAAAAAAAAATCATTTATTTATTTATTCATTTTAAGAAACATATGTGTCTAGTGCAAAAATATCAAATTCTCCAAATGATGGAGGTTAGAGGAAGGGAGGATAATTTTGAATAAATGCGCATTAAAGTTTCTTGGGCTGATGTTCAATGACATATCTAGCACAGAAATGCCATATTTACCAAATCATAGTTTTAAGTAAGTGGATATTAAAAGTTTCAGGGACTGATAAGTTGGTTACCAAATGCCTCTAAAGCAAAAAGAAATATGGTTAATGTGGAATGATAATATATTGTGATTGTTATTTCTTAAACTATTGATAAAAAAAAAAAAACATAGGCTAGCAGAACTTATGTTAGAGCAGTTCACCACTAATTCTATATACTGTAGTTCTGAATTTATTTGTTATTCATTGTATGTTACTTTTGCAGGTCAAAGCTGAATCACAATGCGGCCTTTATGCAGCTTCCAATAGGTCTGGAGGGAAACACAAAAGGGATTATTGACTTAGTGGCCCAGAAAGCTCTATATTTTGAAGGCAATAATGGGTTAGTAGTAATGATATTCATTAGTATGAGAAAATGGTTGGAGTATCTCTTTGCTTTGTATTTTGTCTTGTAGAAAAGTTTGGTCTCTGAAAGATATTTGAAACTGAGTTAAAATTCATTTTATTTATTGATTTATTTTTTCTCTATGTAAAATGAACTATGTATGCAGACACATACACACCCATTTACTCACTCACTCACTCACTCACTCACTCACTCACTCACTCACTCACTCATTCACTCATTCACCCACCCACCCACCCACCTTGTTCTCTCTCTCCCACACCAACCCACTTAATTGCAATAAAACAATCTCTATTTCTCATCAGCGAAATTATCCGCGAAGATGAGATCCCCAAAGACATGAGAGCTGAAGCCGATGACCGTTACATGGAGCTTATTGAACATGTGTCCAATGCGGATGATGCTATTGGCGAACTGTTCTTGGGTGAGTCGGGTAAAATACGGTTTCACAATTTGAGGTTGATGTGTTATAGT